AGGTAGAGGGCAGATGGTGATCGGGAGAAAGGTGGAGGGGTGGAGAGGAGCGGGAGGCCGTTGGCTGTCGTGTCCAGCCGGCTGCTGCTGCTATTGCTCATGGCAACAAGATGGAAATCACTGCAGAATTCAGGCTGAGCAGCAGAAGCAGCATCTCTAACTGCCCCCGTCTGTCTCTGCTTATCTCTTCTTATCTTATCCGTCCTTCAGTCGTCTTATCAGAAGTCGTCTCCGCTATCATTTGGATTTTCATGTATTCCCATGTATTTACATTTATTTGGATGTGCTGTTGTAGATCAGTTGATTAGTCCCTCAGGAGAAATGGAACTGCTCCACTGTTTCCTCTTAGTGAGCCCACAGTGGGCATGAAGGTTTTCCTTCATCCTTTTTACACCCTGGAGGGAAATCTAGACAGGTTCTCTGCTATCTGTAATCATTGCACGGCTCGCTGCACAGACTGACTGGGAATCATGGAAATGACAGAGTGTGCAGAGGCTGTGTACACACAGGTTCAAAGACCTGGGCTCAGTTTTTGTCTGTTGCTGTCTAATTTTTGTTTTAATCAGAAGTCAAATTCTCGCCCTGAAGCTTTGCTTCTTGTACTGATGGCAAAATGGGATTGTATTGTACAAAAGGAGCTTTGTGCTGCGTTAATGAAGACTCGACACGAGTGATTGAGACCATAATCTCACCAGGAAAACATTTGCTTTACTCGTAAATCAGTGAACTAAAGTGTCATTTTCTCATAGATAGCTATGGGCCACAGTCGGACTTCTGATTAAAACGGCATTAATCGCCCCCTGCTGGCCATTAAAAAGACTGCAGGTTTAATACTCTGTCCAGAAGCTTTGTCCATCTTTTATGTACACCTGTGAATTGATCCACAGGGGTTTCTGCAGTCTGTGGGGACACAACCAAACTGTCCCTGCAGGTTGGTTGTTTTGTCCTATAGTATCACATGTGTAGGCAACATTTGTGCTGTTTAAGCTGAGTCATTATATTCTTTAATGTTTCCATTATTAAAAAAACCATAATGAAGTGTGACCTTTTGTTTTGTTCCCTTTGTGTGCTTTGATGGTGTTGTTGCATTCTGGTGGTAATATTGAGGGTGATATCCTCAGGTTACTGGATTTGCCAACAGATCAGTCACTCACTAAAGCAAAATTGAGTTATTATCGTTTTTTTATTATTATTGTTATGAATTTATTCATTTCTAAAAATCAGGTACACAATGAGCTTCAGCCTGTACCATGTACAGTATACCACATATGTGAAAATAAGGAGTTACTTCTTTTTGTGACATGAGGGACGTTAAGATGAAAGCTGTTACAGTAAAAACAGAAGGTTTTTTTGTGATAATAATAAATGGCCTGTATTTGTATAGCGCTTTACTAATAATACTTTATTTGAACCGTTTCCTTTATTGTTTCTAACACT